AGGAGGAGGAGGAGGAGATTGGATTTATACCCCACCCTTCACTCGGAGTCTCAGAGCGGCTTACAAACTTCCCGTCCGTTCCCCATAACAGACACCCTGTGAGGTAGGTGGGGCTGAGAGAGCTCTCTCGAGGACTGCCCTTGAGAGAACAGCTGTGACAGAACTATGACTTGTCCAAGGTAATCCAGCAGCTGCAAGTGGAGGAGTCCACACACTTAACCAGTCTTAGAGCAGTCTGGCTTGGAGAAAATAACCAGGCATGGAGTAACAAAGGAAGTGTGATGTAGTGTTGCAGTGAACATGTTGGACTAGGATCTAGCAGACCCAGGTTCGAATCCCTACTCTGCCATGGAAGCTTGCTGGGTGACCGGGCTCTTTTTGTAGCAGGAGCTCCTTTGCATATTAGGCGACTCACCCCTGATGTAGCCAATCCTCCAAGAGCTTACAGAGCTCTTCTTACAGGGGCTACTGTAAGCTCTTGGAGGATTGGCTACATCAGGGGTGTGTCGGCCAGGGCTCTTTTTGCAGCAGGAGCTCCTTTGCATATTAGGCGACACACCCCTGATGTAGCCAATCCTCCGAGAGCTTACAGAGCTCTTCTTACAGGGGCCACTGTAAGCTCTTGGAGGATTGGCTACATTGGGGTGTGTCGCCTAATATGCAAAGGAGTTCCTGCTGCAAAAAGAGCCCTGTAAGTCACTCTGAGACTCCTTCATGTAGTGAAGGGCGGGGTATAAATCCAATCTCCTCCTCCTCCTCCTCTTTCTGCCTGAAGAGTATGGCCAGAAAGAGGTAGTCGTGGACAGTGCATCAAGTCGCAGCCAACTTCCAGTGACCCTGTAGGGTTTTCAAGGCAAGAGATGAACAGGGGTGGTTTCCCATGGCCTGCCATTGCGTAGGAACCCCAGACTTCCTTGGTAGTCTCCCATCCAAGAATAAACCAGGGCCGATCCCCGCTTAGCTTCTGAGAGCTGTTGAGATCGGGCCAGCTGGGGCCATGCATGCCAGCGTGGTGGAAAATGCGTTCATGTCTTAGATGTTTTCCACAGTGTCAAGTTTCCCTGTGCCTGCACTTGTATGCCTCCGCTGCTTTCCCTCATTTCCGTAGATGTTTTCGCAGTTCCAGGCACAAAACCGCAGTTTGTCCCCTGTTGCTCCAAAGCATCAGACTTCCCTGTTTCCGGGAATTCCCATGCTACACCACAAGAGGATCTAACAACGAATAAATATACACTGCAAGAGATTTTTTTTTTAACAAACAACCACGTTCTATTTGTAACCACCATGCTATAAAGTGCATAATGTGCTACCATTACATCCTTGTCAGGTACATGCATACAATACTTTCAGTTTAACAACTACCAGTCAATATTGCATTGGTATTTTTAAAAAGTCAAGCCCCAACGGGAGTTTCCGGAACTGCAAGCCCGCTTCTACTTGCACAAAGTCTTCCAAAGGGGGGGGGGGACTTGCAATTGTATTCTGTTGGTGCTTATCGCCGGTTCTACAAAAGAATTGTGCAGCTAAGATTCGTGGACGGAGCGCTCCGGCCATTCTCAAAGACTGGAAGACTTTGTGCAAGTAGAAGCGGGCTTGCAATTCCGGAAACTCCCGTTGGGGCTTGACTTTTTAAAAATACTGATGCGATATTGACTGGTAGTTGTTAAATTGAAAGTATTGTATACATGTACCTGAGAAGGATGTAATGATAGCACACCATGCACTTTATAGCATGACAGTTAACAAACAGAACACGGTTGTTTGTAAAAATCTCTTGCAGTGTATATTTATTCGTTGTTAGACTCTCCTAACACTACAGCTCGGATTGCTACAGCACCACAAGAGGGCGCAAACTGCGTTTTTGCTCCTGGGAGGGGGGAATCATCTGCAGAAATGAGGGAAAGCCGTGGATGAATAGAAGAACAGGCAGGGGGAAACCTGACACTGCAGAAAACGTCTCAGCCTACTTACGGCAAGCCCATTGCATTTTCAAGGCAAGAGTCGAACAGGAGTGGTTTGCCATTCTCTGCCTTTCTGTACCAACCCTGGACTTCTCTGGTGGTTTCCAATCCCTGCGCTAACCAGGATCAGAAAGAGGTAAAGGTAAAGGCTTCCCTTGCTCGAAAGCCAGTCGAATCGGACTCTAGGGATGTGGTGCTCCTCTCCGTTTCCAAGCTGAAGAGCCAGCACTGTCCGTAGACTTCTCCGTGGTCATGTGGCCAACATGACTAGACGCCGAGGCGCATGGAACGCTGTTACCTTCCCAGCAAAGCGGTACCTATTTATCTACTTGCAATTTCTTGCTTTTGAACTGCTAGGTTGGCAGGAACTGGGGCCAGAGACAGGAACTCACTCCGTCCCGCGGAACTCGGGTCTCGAACTGCCGGCTTTCCGGTCTGCAGCTCAGCGTCTTAACCACTGAGCCAATGCAGCCCCTTCAGAAAGAGGAGACCCACATAAAAGTGGAAAGAGAGGGGCCTTTCTCTACATCACTGAAACCACCCCCCGCTGACATCTGAAACACTGGCATGAAGCGGCCCTTTCCTTGCATGCTCGAAAACCCAGCGACTTGCCTATTTATGCTCTCCACAATGCCTCCCGCATGGAGCATCCTTTCTTCTCTGCGACTTACCATTATTGATGCAACCACGGGGCCTTTGATCACCCACCATAAGGCCGTGTTGACATTGATGTCCCAGCAGCTGATACCCATATGGAGGGGGGGAGGTCGGGAACCAAAGAGAGAAAAGAGAGAGATTGCTATGCCGGGTGAATATAAACACATCTGCTCCCGAAACGATGACTAATGTCACCCCTGTTTCATATTTATTTCACGCTAACAGCCACATAGAACACAGACAGGCTGGGGAACTCCCCCCCCTTCAAACAAGAGTCTTTCTAGCAGTATCAGTCCCCAAAATGGCAGTATCTGGTTGGACGAGCCCTTTTTGTAAAGTGTTAGATATTGAGAGACAAACTCTGTACACGTTTCCCTGATTTTGGGGCTCCAGGTGCTTATTTCTCGCCCCTCAAGTATCCACAAAGTGCGACTATCCCACATCCATCCTGCACCAACAAAGTGTGAACGCCAAAAGCCGCATTTTTCTTATGCGCATGAGCACTCATGCACTCATGTGCATAAGTGCTCATACGCATAAACAGATATCTCCAGATTACAGGGGGGAAAGCCGTGGCTTACATAATAGGCTAAGGGCGATTGCTAGCAGAAGAACACCTGTGTCGAATAGACAGCTTGAGAAGACTCAGAGAGGGAGAAGAGTACCTGAGTCACAATCCTCAGAATTCTGGCTTTTCTTTCTGCACTGAGAACTTTAGCCCCACCAGGGGGGAAAAAAATTGCCCCACAAGCCACAAAATCCTGGCTACAAGCCTGCTCTGTGGGATGTAAACCGTAAAGGTCTCCCTTGCTTGATAGCCAGTCGAGTCCGACTCTAGGGTTGCGGTGCTCATCTCCGTTTCAAAGCCGAAGAGCCAGCGCTGTCAGAAGACATTTCCGTGGTCATGTGGCCGGCATGACTAGACGCCGAGGCGCACGGAACGCTGTTACCTTCCCACCGAAGTGGTCCCTATTTATCTACTTGCAATTTCTTGCTTTCGAACTGCTAGGTTGGCAGGAGCTGGAACTAGAGACGGGAGCTCACTCCGTCATGTGGCACCCGGGTCTCAAACTGCTGAACTACTGACCTTCTACAGCCTGCAGTTCAGCGTCTTAACCACTTGAGCCACCGCAGCTCCTCTGCGGGGTGTATCCTGACTCAAACCCACTGAGTGATGCCACCAAGGTTAAGCATTCGAGATCCGACTTCCAAGTTTTACGTTCAACATGTAGATGCAGATTTAGCGTTGCCGCGTCTCATCCCGCAATCCAAGGGGCACAGTTTGAATCTGGGATATTTTAAAAATATTCTCAGAAGGTTAAAGAGGGGAGACCTACCCGACATCGTCAAAGTGAAGCCTCAGGACAGCCCAGATGGTGACCTTAATGGTAGGAGTCCCTACAAAAAAAATAATAAATAAAGCAGATGAAGGGAGTGGTATTTTGTGGCATGCCCTTTGAAGCATTCCGACTCAGTGAGCGTGCTCCCCATTTCGAAGGAGGCAAGGCCTGAATGCCAACTCATGCAGAGATGCAACTGATACCCTCATTAGTGATTGTGGGTGTCAAGCTCACGGGAACTTATAATTACTGAGTGATTGTCTCACGGCATCCAAGCAGTTTCTTTCCAACATACTGCTGTGTCCCAGCACATATCCGGGGAATGACTGTTTTACATTCAGACCAATTCCCCACAAGCAGATGTGGTGCCTTCACTCTTCTGTTTCCCCCACATGCATTGGCCAATTTCACATGACTCGCTGCATGGCCGCATTTTGACCCGCAGCTCCTCCTGATTTTCCCCGCTTCTTCTCGGTCTCAAAAAAAACAAGGATCGAGAAGATGTGGGGGAAATCGGAGAGACCTGCGGGACAAAATGCGGCCGTGTATGGAATAGTGTGAAATTGACCGACACAAGGGAGGGAAACAGAAGAGCAAGGGAAGCACAGCTGCTTGTGGGGAATCGGTCCCTATGTCACCATGCTCAGAAGTCTCCATTGTGGGAACTCTACTGACCACTGGCTGGTCCGGACAGGGGTCATTTCCTGCAGGAGTGGAGCTCCGGCAGTAAAGAGCCCAGGGGGCAGGCACATGCAATAAGCCCCACCCCCTGCTCCGAGCAGCCCCAGGCCACAAGGAGCAAGACGTCTTTCTTTCTTTCTTTCTTTCTTTCTTTCTTTCTTTCTTTCTTTCTTTCTTTCTTTCTTTCTTTCTTTCTTTCTTTCTTCCTTCCTTCCTTCCTTCCTTCCTTCCTTCCTTCCTTCCTTCCTTCCTTCCTTCTTTCCTTCCTTCCTTCCTCTCCCTCCTTCCTCTATTTGCTTCCTTTATTTCTCTCTCCTTCCTTCTTTCTTTCCACCTTTCATTCTTTCCATCTTTCTCTCTCTCCCTTCCTTCT